TCTTAGTTTTTTTTTAATATGGAATATTACGAATATTTGAAAATTACTTGTATAATATTTATTAGTATTGTATATTAAGTTATAATAATATTGAATATAATTTTTATAGTGACCTGACCGGGGTTTGAACCCGAGACCCTTCGGTTAAAGGACCTGTGCCATAACCACTGCACCAATGGTCAGATGGATGTCCGATTATAGATCAGATATATTTGTGAAACTTTAGAAGAATTGCTTGACAGGTTCGGGTACCTGCCATACAACTCCAGAAGCTAATTTTAAATATTTGGAAAAATAATAAAGTCAGATTCATGAAACTTGGCAGTTTTGTGTCGAGTTATAGGTCAGATATATTTCTGAAGTTTTAGTGGAATTGCTTGACAGGTTCGAGTAGCTCCCATACAAGTCTAAAAGCTTATTTTAAAAATTTGGAAAAATAATAAAGTCAGATTCATGAGACTTGGCAGTCGTGTGTCCAATTATAGGTCAGACATATTTCTAAAGTTTTAATGGGATTGATTGACAGGTTCGAGTAGCTCCCATGCAAGTCTTAAAGCTTATTCTTAATATTTGGAAAAATAATAAAGTCAGATTCATGAAACTTGGCAGTTGTGTGTCCGATTATAGATCAGATATATTTGTGAAGTTTTGATGGAATTATTTGACAGGTTCAGGTACTTGCCATACAACTCCAAAAGCTAATTTTAAATATTTGGAAAAATTATAAAGTCAGATTCATGAAACTTGGCAGTCGGATGTCCAATTATAGGTCAGACCTATCCGTGAAGTTTCTATAGAATGACTTCACAGGTTCGAGTAATTGCTACACAATAATGAAAGGTGCAGGGTATAATTCAATCGGTTTATACCGACTGAAACGTTTTTACTTTTTTTTTTTATTTTTTCTTTTTTTACGATCCCACCACTTTGAGTATCCCACTTCGACCACTGTATACAACAATAAAAGCTAATTCTAGATATTTCAAAAACAAATTTTTAGACTCAGATTGTCTAGCTGCAGGGTATAATTCGGTCTGTTCATACCGACTGGAACGTTTTTACTTGTTTATGATTGCCTTAGATGTGTTTACAATGTTAATATAACACCCAGCAATACGTACAGAGTATATGTATATTAAAAGCAAACAAAAAAATTCGCAAATTTTTTTTTTCGTCGCAAAGTGAAACTTTTTCGTCACGAAATGAAACTATACAAAATTTTTTTTCGATGCAATATGAAATGTCGGAAAGTAAAACGTCAAAGCAAGGTATTAATGTATACATAATGTGGATTAAATCCACATTATGTATACACTAATACCTTATTATAGCACTTATATATCTGTTCAGGAACTATTAACACATGCGTAATATGCATATTAAGTACGAGTATATAATATTATAGAGATACTTATGCGCAGGTACTTTCTGCTATCTAAGAAGGTAGGTATCTTCTTTTTAGTTTCACTCTGTCCGTCCGTCCGTGGACACTTGTTTTGTTTACAAAACTTCTACACCTTTGAAGATAGAAAGCTGAAATTTAATAAGTACATAGATCTTCACTAGAAACTTATTTCCGTGGAACAAAATTTTTACCTATCTCCCCCCCTCTAGAAGTTTTTAGGGTTCCCCCAAAACCCTAAAAATGGCCTTTTTTAACTATTTGTTGCAATGAAACCATAAGCATTTTTGAAATTTTGCAAACGCAGAAAGGCAATGGCTTGCTTCCCCTAGCGCGGACCATTAAAATTTACCGTTATCTAAAGTCCTTTTTTTTCCAAATTTTTGATATCGTTTTTCTTCTAGACCCCAGCCTGTAGAAGCTTAAAATTTTAGGAGCTTTTAGACATTGTTTAGACCAAATTGTTCATTTCGTTAGAAGATTTTTTTCCATCTCCACCCCCTCTTAAGTTATCGTCTCTTGAAATTTGTAAAATTTGATTTTTTGACACTTTATATTGCCGAAACCGCAATCTTTTTCAAATTTCTATAAATGCAAAAAGCTAACGGTAAATTCCATGGCATTAAAAAATATAATTACAATTTTCTTAACTTACATTTTTCTTAACTCACACAATTAAACCTTAATTAATTGCATTTTTCTCAACTCCCACAATTAAACCTTAAAATCGAGCATTATGTTAACCCCACTTTATATTAATTTTTGCTTTATTTCAAAGACTGCATATATACATCATCCTAAATTTATGCAATCCTAGAAGTAGTTTTGTAAATGAGTGAAAATAGTTTTAATAGTGTGATAGGTATACATAGACTGTATTTAAAAGCAGAATTTTCATTTGTTGAAGTGAAAGGTGCTACAATACAAACCATTGGTTTGACCCAATTTTATTATTTTGAGAATCGTTGTTTCCGTAATTTTGATCGAAGGGGGTGACAATGAAATAAATATATACATAGTATACAGTGTTCTGTCTGAGAATTTCAAAAGGTGCAAAAAAAGTGCGATTTCTAAAAAAAAAGTGCAAAGTTATGTAAAATTACACAAAGTTATTATAAAATTTTTTACAATAACTTTGTGTAATTAAGCCGAGCTAAGTGAAATAATATTTTTTTTTATTTTAATTGTTTGCAAGAAAAAATAATGCAATTATTTTCAGGAAAACTTAAAATTATTTGTCAGCACATATCCAACCGCAATGTGTATTGTTTAGTTAAGTAAAAGTGTTACAGAATATTATAAAACTGCCTGTTAAATACTTTTTTCTAATTTTTAGACCATTAGCTTATAGATAACATTTGTTCGGTAACAACCAGAACAAATATCAAATTTCAAGAAATTCCATCTATTCGTTCCTTAGATATGGTGAAAAATGTAAAATTCGCCCGTAAATCAGTTTTCCAGCGCTGATTCCTCCAAAAACTTTATATGTTCATTGTTTTAATACGAAGAATGTAAATATGAATATCTCTAATAACACAGAAATATCTCTAATAACACAGACAGATCGACTGACAGACAGATTGCTAAAAATAGTTCATTTACGCTTCCCTACCATGGAGAAGTGCGTTCCCACCGCGAACTCGATATGTAAAATTAGTTGCCATCACAGAACTTACCCACACAATGCGGTTTGCAAAATTTAAAAAATGCTATGGTTCAATTACAGTAAACATTTGAAAAATGGCATTTTTAGGGTGTTTGGGGGTATAACTTTTATACCCCCAAAGGGGAGGAGATAGATAAAAATTGAGTTCTACGAAAATTAGTTTCTCGTAAAGATACATGTACATATAAAATTTCAGGTTTCTATCTTCAAGGGTGTTGAAGTTTTGTAAACAGACGCACGAACAGACGGACGGACGGACGGACGGACGGACGGACAGACGGATGGACGAACGGACGGACGGACAGAGTTAAACTAATAAGCACTTTTTTTTCAAATTTTTTTTGAAAAGTGCTAATAACACAAACCATAAAGTAATTATATGTACTTTTAATATAAAAATAATGCACATATGCAATAATTTTTGTGAATTATGAAACATATTAATTTAATTCACACAGTATACACATGAAAAATATACAGATATATGTGTGATTATATAAGAAATATGCATTGTGGGAGATATTTCATACATAATTAGGGAACTTGTAAACATCAAATGTACCCAAATTTGAAAAAATGCACAAAAATCTTAATACTTCGAATAAAAAAATTGCAATATTTTTTTTCTTGTTATTTCTTATTGAAATCTTAGAAATGAACAGAACCTTGGACCTGGTGTTTTTTATTTTATATATTATGTAATGTAATTAAAATTTGAATTAAAAAAAAATTCTCCACAAATCATACAAATTTTTCAATATTTCGTTGTAACTTTCAATATTAACACTTTCTAACTAAATGTAATGCAAATGATCATAAGTGATAAATGTTTTCAGATAAAAAAAAAATTGTTATATTTATATCGAGGCAACTAAAAAAAATTTTCGTCAAAGTTTAACGAAATTTTTACATTTTCTTCAGGGATTTCTTTGCATTTTGTACTCGTACCTTTCTTTTTTTTTTTAATTTTATTTAATGTGATTTGGTTTGTATAATTTGTAATATAATTAACTTTATTACCTTATTATATTTTTTTTACTTTAATTAATTTATGTAATCTTTAGTAATTTCCTATCTTACTTTCCTATTTTAGTTTACATAATTATTTTTTTTTAAATAATACATAGGAATAAAATTAAATATTTCAAAATCGCATAACGTTTTTTCTCCTATTTTAATATTTTTCAGAGATAGCAATACGAAAAATAACATTTTTATTTGTCAGAGACACTCTAACACTCTCTTTATTTAGGGAACTCAGATGTTTTTAAAAATTTATTTTATGAATAAAATAACTTGCAATGTTGCCAAAAGTTGCAATGAGACTACTAGAACAGATTCCTTAAAAGAATATTATAATATGAGGGCAAAATGATGAAAGTTACATAAAAATAAAAACAAATATTTTGTATTAAAAATAAATTCTTATTTAACTGTGTGGATTTTTGTTTTGAATCAAACGTGTCTAACTATCGTGCTAACGTAAAATTTTCATTTTACTCAAGTTTGTTTGAATTTATTTTGGCAAATATTTATATTCATATGCATGCATTACTTCCCATTAACTTAAATTTGTAAATATTGTATTAAATAATTTCCGAAAAAAATACTAAATATGTTAGCAGCTAAAAATTCTTTTAGAGGTGCATTCTCTAAGAAGGGAATCTAAAAATGGTAACTCAATTTTTTTTTAATTTAGGGTTTAGTTCATTTATTTTCGAGAAACAGTGATGTAACTTCGTAAAGAGAACTAACAAAATTTTATTTTCTTAATTCCCTTTACAAAGTTAAAAAATAAGAAAATTATTGTGCACTTTAAGTTTTCAATATTTAGAGTAACTACCAAATATATAACAACAAAACATGAAAGCCAAATAAATATACAAATTTAAGTAATAAAATTAATATTTTACAACTTTTTCATTTCAGGTTGTAAAATTAAAGCGTTAAGAGCCAAAACTAATACATACATTAAGACTCCAGTGCGTGGAGAAGAGCCAGTTTTTGTTGTAACAGGCCGTAAAGAAGATGTTGGAAAAGCTAAGCGTGAAATTTTATCAGCTGCCGAACATTTTAGTTTAATAAGAGCATCACGTAAACCATCATTAGCCAGTTTAAGTACAACGGGTGGTGCAGTTGTTAGTGGATCAAACTGTTTACAAACAAATGGTTTGAATAATGCTAATTGTATAAATAGTAATGGCAAAGGTAACTTAGGCCCACCAATTAATATTCCAGGACAAATAACAATACAAGTTCGCGTTCCTTATCGCGTTGTTGGTCTAGTTGTCGGTCCAAAAGGTGCCACTATAAAACATATACAACAACAAACTCATACATACATTGTCACACCATCACGTGATAAAGAACCAGTATTTGAAGTATCAGGTTTACCAGATAATGTTCAATTAGCTAGACGTCAAATAGAAGCTCATATTGCATTAAGAACCGGTAACATAACTGATTTACAATTGCCATCGAATACAACAAATCAAAGTCTTAATTCCACATTAAATATTAATGATAATATCGATTTAAATATAACCGGTAATAGTTTTACAACATTAAATGATAGTACGAATAATATTAATAATACTGGATGTTTATCATCATTACTTGATGAACATGTTGGTTCTGAATTTTTAGCATCCCTGTATAAAAATGGTTTTAATTGTTTATTAGGGTATTTAGATCAATCGACTAATAATAACAATACTAATAATAATAGTACCAACAGTACTAATAATAATATGATAAACAATTTGATAAATATTAATGGCATAAATGATTTGAATACAGTAGCATTAAATCAAACTCCAAATTTAAATAATAATTTTACAAATAATATGAAAAATAATAATAACAAAGATGGTGGTTTATTTGATGTTACAAATGGTTTATTAACACCAAATCAAAACAATAATCAATCAAATTGTACTGATAATATTTTAGATTATACATTTCCTGTTTTAACAAATACTTCAAACACAATAGCAAGCGTCATAAGATCAAATGAGATAAACAATATGAATAGCGGTAATAATGGCATTATAAGTAATAGATCATGTTCTTCTTCATCAAGTTCGACATCATCAAAATCAGCATCAAATCAATCTGGTCCAGAACTGATTAATATATGGAAAAATTGTCATCAAGATTCAACCGGTTCAATTGAAATTGATGAAGGCCTAGGTGAATCACCGAATATATGGACATTACCACCAGTATCAGCATTGGGTTCACGTTGTTCACCAACGTCAAATTCAGTTAGCCCAACTGATTCATTATTAGGAGGCAGTAGTAGTGGTGGGGGTTCATCATCAACTGGTTCCGCGGGTATATCAAATTCAGGAAATTCAGCTAATTTATTACAACAACAGCAACAGCAGCAACAACATCAGCAGAATAACACAAACTGTTCATCAACAACGTCAACAAATATGCAAATAACGTCATCTGTAACGCCATATTTAAGACGCGAATGTTTGTTATGTGGAGATAAAGAAGTTACAGCTGCACTTGTACCATGTGGTCATAATATGTTCTGCTTAGAATGTGCTGGACGCGTTTGTGGTACTGGTGAAGGAATATGTCCTGTATGCAGTCAACCGGTTATTCAAGCTATAAGAATAATACATTAATTACATAAATTATTGAAATAATAATAAATTTTAATAATTATTAAATTTATTATTATTTATTATTGTATTATTATACAAATTAAAATTATATGTATGTGAAATATGTATGAGGAATTTTTGATAATTAATTTTTAACTTAGTGCTAAAATCGCAATACGCAATTAAAATTATAAATTAAAAGAAGAAAAAAAACTTCAATATTTCAAAAATGAAAAAAAGAAAAAGATTTTTAGCAATCAAAAAAGACTTAGCAAACTAAAAAATATGAGAAAAGTTTTAACATTTTTTTATTACTATGAATTTTTTTCTTCATATTAAAATTTTTTTTATAGTTTTTGCAGTTACGTATTGTTACTATGAATGTTGTATGTATATTCTAAGTTAGAAATTAAGTGGTAACCTGAATTATTATCAAAAACACCCGTAAATAAAATTTATAAACAAATTCGATATGCAAACATGTATATAAATGTATAAAAAATTCAATTTATAAAACTTTTATTTATATAATTTGTATTTATTTCTCATTTAAAGCGAAAACATATTATGTCATTAAAATTTACATATTATGTCTTTATAAAATAAAAATAAATACATTAATAATATATGTATATAGTAATATTTATAAAAATTGTGTAATCGAGTAAATTTTACAATTTATTTATAAAACAATAATATATATATATATATATATATATGATAAGTGAATTCTTGTGTAATAACAATAAAATAAAATATATTTTTATTTATATTTGAAAAATTTTTCATTTTCAAACGAATTAAAAAATTAAACTAGTTATTATATCATAACATAAAAAATAACATTTAAATAAATTTTAGCCTATATTATACATATTAGTAGAAATAAAAGGTATTTTATACACATCTATATGTGTATATATATATTTTAACTTACAATCTAAAAAGAAAAAATAATAAAAAATCAGATAATTATAAAGTAAATTTTATAAAAAAGAAATAAGTAAATATTTTTTAACAGCAGCAATAAAAATAATGAATATATATATATATATATATATATATATATATATATATATATATATATATATATATATGATGAATGTTTACATTATATATACATACATATACATATATGAGCATATATTGTATACTTAAGTATATATTTGTTTAAGAAGAAAATTTAATTCATCGTTAAATAAAATTGAAAGCAAAATATATAATATTAATAAAATAAATATATATCAGTATAAAAACTTAGCTACCATACACAAATAAAAACAAAAAAGTAAGCAAACATAGTATGATTACACATATAGGAGAAAATTTTTCTGTTCAAATTTTTAAATATAATATATGACTTTTTTATATTTTTTTAATTATTTTGTTTGTTTTTTTTATTTGCTATTTCACTTTTTTAAATTGCTTCTTTATATAAAACATTTTATATAAAAGAACGGACAAAAATATATATCTAAATAAATGTTAAAATTCATATTATAATAAATTTTGAGCAAACAATCACACAAAGATATTGCAACAAAAATAATAAATATTTTTTTTATAATTCTTTTTAAAAAGAATTATATGAACTTACAATCAAAAACAAAAAAAAACTTTTTTTGGAAATATGATAAATTCTTTTATTTCATTTTTTAAACTCTATTTATTATTGAATTAAATAATTAAAAGATAAAAAGTAGATTATCTAAAATGAATTTAATTTGTATTGATTCAATTTATCTTGAATTGTTTTTTATATGAATTATTTTTGTTATTGAGTTTATATTTTCGATACACAATATTAAACTAAGAAAAACATAACTGATAAACATGATTGAAATATATGCATTTATCTCTATATATATATATTAAAAAAAATAAAGAAATATTTAAAAAAAAGAACACAAAATATATTCCAAAAAATTAAAAATAAAAATATAAAAGTAATTTGAAAGAAAAACAAGATTTAATATAAATAAATCAAATAAAAAATACAATATTGTCATTAAAATATTTAGGATGTCAATAAATAAGAAACACAAATATTATCACAAATATTATCAATGTTTTTACAAAAAAAAATTTATTCTAATAAATTTTCTTAAAGAAAGCAAGAGCAAAAATAATCCATATATATATATATATATATATATATATGTATACATGTATTCTTATATAATATAAATATATTTATAAAATAAAATGCTTTAAATAAAAATATATTCTCAAAATACATTTGAGAGACAACTTTCTTTTTAATCTTTTAATTGAAATTAAACAAAAAAAAATAAAATAAATAAAATCTATATATTACCATATATATGTATAACACACAAATTGAAAATACTATAAATATTTAACATATTGTATATAAACATTTACAATTAATATCCAAGTTTGAAAGCTTATATATACCACAATTCCAGCAGATTTAGTAATTGAATCGCATTAATTTTCAAAGATACATAACATTTTTCTTTTTAGATTTTCTTTTTCAATTAATTTCATACAAATAAACTTCCATTTAAAAATCTATGCTAATTAATTTAAATTTCCTTAATTTGTAAATATGATTTTTTTTTCTTTAAAATGTTTCAACGATATAATAAGCTATGAAAAGTATTTTATAAATTTATTTTTGGTTACGGTTTCTTTTGTATTAATATTTTCTATTTTACGATTTTAACGTACTAGTTAAAAACGATAAATTTTTCTACTTCACTATCAAAAGTAAATTATTAGTCATTATATAAAATGTTTAGTAATAAAACTTTAGTTGTCCAAAGGGCCTTAGTTTTGTAATAATTAGCTTAATTTATTTAATTCTTTAACTTCTCTAACGTTATTGCATATAAATATTTAGATTTTATTGTTGCGTTTACTTGACATCTGAAATGAAAAAGAAATAATAGAAATATTTTTATTTAATATCATTAGATCAAAAAAAAATAAAAATAATAAAACAATAACATTTTTTTTTGATAGCGTAAAATGCTATTGGACATTTTTTGTCTCAATTTGTTAAAATACATTAGTAATATACAATATAAACCAATTAGAAAGGTAATAGAATTCCAAAATGTATTCAAATGAATTCAAATTTTGTATATTTATAATTTTGATACCGCGATGCATTGCAATTTTTTAAGAGGTAGGGAGACTTCAAAATTGCATTAATACGGTATTAATATACAATGCAGCAATGACAATGATAATGCATGAATTGAAAATTGTAACTTTGAACTGTAACTTTGAATTAATGGAAAGTGTATAATTTAATTGTATATAAAAACATATAGATTAAACCATCAACAAAACAAAAAAAAAAATAGATCTTTTAATATGTAAGTAAGACAGAAAAAAACGAATTAGGAAAAAAAAAGTACTGAATATTTTTCAAAAATCATTGTTTTTCATTTAATTATAATCATAACCATAATTATAAAATTATGTATGTTTTTATATACGTTAAATTGTATAATATATATTATTATCAACAAAATTTAAAAAATATTCAACAAAAGATTTTTATATCAAACATTTATATCATATATGTATATACATATATATGTATTCGTGAAGTAAAATACTATTTAAAAAAATACACCCAAAATATAATCTAACAAAAACAAATTTAAAAAAGAAAATATTATTAGAAATGTAAAAGTATATATTGGATCTCGAACGAAAAATAAGACTTAAAAATAATAGCGTATTTAACTTTATTAAATAAAAATATTCAAAATAAATAAGAAAAAGTTTAAAAATATAAAGAGTTTTGACAAGTAATATTAAAGAATAAATTATTTATGTTATATTAAAAATATCATAAAAATAAACAGAAAATTATATATAGTAATAAAAAATTAATTAAAAATATGCTAAAATTCTGGGAAGAATGTGGATTTCGTTTTTAATTATTGTTCTGTTTTTTTTATTTTTAAAATAAAAAATGTTATAAAAATTATAATCACTCATATTATGTTGGACGAATAAGCTGATGTGTTGACATATTATTTAAAATTTTTGTAAATTTTAAAATAAATTTTAAATTATATATATTGAAAACCTAAACATCTTTGAATAATATTCCATTGCCTCAATTAATGCGTCTAACATAATATTATAACGTGGATGATTATGATTTTTGTTCCGAAAATTTTATTTGAAAAGGTATATATAAAGATAATTCACAACAAAAGATTTAAGGTGTCATAATTTGCATTCAAATTTATAATTTATTAAATTATTTTTATATTAATTTATATGTTTTTTCAATTTAGTGTTGTTGTATGATAGGATGCCGTCGTGATTATGTTCCTTTTAGAATGCATTTTCAGAAATCATGTATATATTGTATATTTTTTAGAAAAATAATTTTAAGTGTATTGCGAGCCTCATTCTTCTATAATTAATTTGACAAAAGAAGTAAATTTTAAAGAGAAAATAATATTAAATTAAATATGAACTACAATATATTTTTCCCAAAAATATAAAATAAAATATATATAACAATACTAAAACAGTACTAAATAAAATACAAAACAACATGAAATTATTCACTATATTTTTTAATTACAAAAAAAAACAAAAACAAAATAAAAATAAACAAAAAAGAATATGATTAAAATTAAATGATAACAAATAAAGAAAAATTTGAAAAATAAAAAAACAATAAATAAAAATATTTTTTTACCAAATTAATTACATGTAATATATGCTAGTTAACATATAATATGTGTGTTATTTTGGTGACAAAAATTTTCTATTTTGTAATTTAATTGTTAAAAAAAATATATATTTTTTTTTATTATTATTATCTTCAAAATTAGTCTGTATTAATTATACATAATTTTATTTATAATTTTTCATAAATATATTCTTTTTTTCAATTTCATATATTGTTATTTCAGAAAATTTTACAAATTTTATAAATCCAAACAACAAAAAAAAAATAATAAAATAAAATTCAAATAAAAAAAATAGAATGTTTTTCGCGTGTGGGTATACAAACTGTAACAATGTATTTTATATAAAAAGGATTTTTTAAAATGGAATGAGAAAGAAAATTAATTTATAAAATCTATATTAAAAATTAATTTATTAATTATTTCAAAAATAGTTTAATTGTTTTTTTTTTTTAATTATTGTTTAATTACATAATTTTGATTCTGTGCGCATATATATATATATATATATATATATATATATGATATATATATATATCAGTTAAATCATTGATTTATTTAGTT